TGTAGGGCGGCTGTGGCTGAGTGGTTAGAGCAGTCGTCCTCCAATGCAAGAGTTGGGGGTTTGAATCCACCAGCAGTCACATGTCGAAGTGTCCCTGGGCAAGACACTGAACCCCCCATTGTCTCCGATGTGTGCCCCATCGGTGTATAAATGTGATTATTCTCTTTAGAATGATTTGTTCGATTAGCTTTGTATAGATCTAGTAGAGTGCTGTATGAATGGGTAAATGAGGACACAGATTGTAGTGTAAAGCGCTTTGAGTATCATGATAGAAAGGCGCTATATAAGTACAGTCCATTTACCATAAAGCACATTTAAAACAGGAACTGTTACCAAAGTGCATTAACAAAAGAAAGACAGAAAAGGGGTAACTAGGCCTGCAGCTACTTGAGCGGCACCACATTTAACAGAGATAAGAAAAGAAAACATAAGGACAGAATGTATTAAAAAAAACTCTCTCACACTGTGTCCTTGATAGGGCACTGTGTGAAGAAGCAAAAAAATCTACCACAGTACAAATCAGAATAAACTTTATTGGCCTTGCATCGAGATACAACGCGAACATGTACGTACAGTCGTCCAAAAGATGGACGGAGTGCTCGAAGCTGCAACTACAGAAAGCGTGGCCTTCTTATCCTTATCAGATAATAATCTTAGATAGGAAAAAGGAGAGAAACATGAGGGTAGATAGTGGTGTTACAAAAAAAGATCTTTCACATCTTGTCTATCAGGACACGATTTGAGACATCAAAAACTCTTCCAGCAGCTCAATTAAAACATGATTACATGCATTTGACATCGAGGTGTTGAGATTTGTCCATGAGCGTTTTTTCAGATCAGCCTCAGTTTCTGAAGATGCTGTTTCAGCCAGCAGTTCTGATAAGCTTGCACAGAAAGTTCTTGGGGGGGGATAGATGAAGCTTTTGTCCTCGGGTACTCAAGTCCCAGGAGAAATTTGATAGTAGGCCCGTCTCCGAGGCTGTCGGGAGTCAGATTTAGATAAGCCTGATTCTTGTTTTTCTTCAGGCAGAGATTAGAAAGAGCAAAATAGGTAGACAAAATCCATGTGTTTGGAGTGGGTAGGGGTGGGGGTCCCAGCACATCTACAAGGTCAGCCACACAGCCCTTTGGCGCCTTTACATCTCCTAGGATGCTGCACCAAGAAGGCAACAAAGGGAGCCAGTGAAAGCATGAGTTTGAGGGGGTTGTCCATGGGCACTCCATAAAGTTGATACGGTGTCTATCAGAGGCACCGTTCACCCTTCTCATGCTTGAGGAGGGGAGGGGGTGAGGAGGGGGTGAGGAGTGGATCAGAGCGTCTTGTTTTTATAACATCTAGGAGAAATTGGGCCAAGGCCAGAAGTATTGATTACTGAGTATATTGATTTTGGGTCAGGCTGAGCTCTTCATTTCCATGTCAGCCTTAAAAGTCTCACTAGTACACCTCATAGCGATTCCAAACAGCTGTATTGTGATATCTTACTCCAAGACGAGCTTACAACTTCTCCAAGATCTGTTTCTTCCCACCATTTGTGAACAGTGACAAAGTATCACAGTCCTGATAAGAGCTATCAGCCTGCTTGGGTTTTCGGGTCCACAGATGGTTCGTACAGAGTCTGAGTGTTGCCAAGCACGACCCACTCCAGGCGGTGTAAAGAGCTGCTGACATTTTCAATTTTTTCAGTAATCCAGTTTTCTACCAGCTCCAAAAAGTAGAATCCAGTTATCATAAATGTATTTTCAACGAGGTAAGAGTGCTCCCCTTCACCCGGTTTCTTGAAAAAATTTTGTTCAATTGCATTGAGAGACTATCTGAAATCCAAATCCATCGTTTACAATTTGGAAGGTATGCAAAAAAGGGGCACTGAAAAAGTTTCACAAGACAAAAGCCAAGCAGGGAAAGGAGCGGTGGAGGAAACGTCTGCTTTCGCTGAGGGCAAGCAAGAAAAACAAAGACACAGAAGACATGAAGACATTTAAAAACAAAAATCAACTTATTCAATCATTCATTCAACCTTTATTTATACAGGTTAGTCTCACTGAGCCATCATTTACAAGAGATCTGTTTTAACAAAGAACAAAGATGAAACGATTATCTGTTTCACAGTCTGCACCTCCCTGTGTTTTTTCCTTTCATGCTACTGTGCACACCTGTTCCCAATCCTAATCACTACAGGTGTTTCCCCTCTCGTCTCATTAGTGATAGTATAAAGCTTTTTCTTTTAACTCTTTTGGTGTCCCAGCATTAAATGGTAAATGGACTGTACTTATACAGCTCCTTTCTATCTTATTCCAAGATACTCAAAGCACTTTACAACAATCTGTGCCTCATCGACCCCTTCAAACAGCTCTATACTAGATCTCTACAAAGATAATTGAACAAATCATTCTAAAGAGACTAATCAGAGCTTTAGATCACATTCAGACACTGATGGGACACACATCAGAGGCAGTGAGGGGTTCAGTGTCTTGCCCAGGGACACTTCAGCATGTGACTGCTGGTGGATTCGAACTCCCAACTCTTGCACTGGAGGACGACTGCTCTAACCACTGAGCCACAGCCACCTGATCTACCTGTCTCTCCAACCCTTCCACGGTGCCCTAGGTCTAGTCGTCTCCTTTATCCTGAGTAAGCTTTTGCTGCCCCGACAGCACTTCATTTTGCTCAATAAATGATTAATTCTTTACTTCTGAGCCCTCATGCCTCGGCCTGCACTTGGGTTCGACACCCAACACCAGATTGTAACAATACATGAGATACAGACAACAATAGACAATCATATAAAAAGCATATAAAATTAAAAAGTAAATAGAAGGAATAATATAAAACAAAACAAAAAAGCAGCTACATTATAAAGCTGTGTAAAATGCTAAAAACAGAAACATGTCTTCATTGGTTTTTGCCATGAACTTAGCAGATGTTTAAAATCTCTTTGAGAGGTCAAGTCAAGAGCTTCAGGCGTTTCTTTTAGCTTTCCTATAGATTATACTTCAGTCAACCCAGAAACGAACTGGAAACTAATATAGTGAATGGTAGATTATCAAGATTTTCTTTTTTGCTGCTTTGTCAAAAACAAATACCTCGACTAAGTTTAGATTTATGGTTGAATTACCTCATCATGTTTTGCAGAAGCCTATTATTCATCCAATGATTCTTATCAGATGTGCTGAAGCAGATAAACATCTAAAACATGCAGGATAGAGGTTGCAGGTTCAAAAGAAACAACAGTATTTTGTATATCTAAGTTGAATCACATAGTATAAGTGAGCAACAAGTTTTTTACAATGAGTAGCGTGGAGATCTCAGCAGCAGAGCATCACTGATGACAGGTAAAGGAGTGGAAGACATGCAGCACTTCTGTCGTGTCGTGTGTCTATGTGTTACCTTGTAAGGCCCATTTTTCCAACATATACTACATTGTGAGGACCAACTGCTCCTTATGGGGCCCAAAGCCCGGACCCCATAAGGACAAGTGCCGTTGGTGGCTTAGGGTTAAGTTTAGGGTTACTGTAGGTATGTACTGGTAATAGTTAGGTATGTACTGGTAATGGTTAGGTATGTACTGGTAATGGTTAGGTATGTACTGGTAATGGTTAGGTATGTACTGGTAATGGTTAGGTATGTACTGGTAATGGTTAGGT